GCAAAAGTAGAGTATAAGAATAAAATGGAACGTTAACTTCAGGAAACACAAGGGACGCATGGCGGGGTCTAAATACCATGATGGGCAGAGTTTCCAAGCCTACATCAGTAGACCACCTGGACCCGACCTCCTTTGTAGATACTTTTACCAGATTCAACAGTAATTCCACTCCAACCAGTTGGATGCCACAACTTACCAACACCACTCTCAAAGACATTTTTATTGATGAACAGCTCGTCTCTTCCATCCTGCATCGAGTAAACCCACACAAGGCCCCTGGTCCTGCAGGCTCAGAGGGAGAGCAGAAGGAGTGCTCCACTCTGTTAACTGGGCCTCTTACTAAACTGTTCCAAAAGCTACTGGATTCTGGTTGTGTCCCCAGTCTATGGAGGGAATCCCACATTGTACCAATCCCTAAGAAGACACCAGGCAAAGACCTGAACGATTACAGACCAGTGGCATTAACGTCAGTTTTGAGTAAACGTATGGAGAGAGTGGTGTATGAGCACCTGGCTGACCAACTGGAACCACTGGTTTGCCTACAAATCCAGACGTGGTGTGGAGGACAAGCCTCACACTTTTGGACATGGTCGCAAAAAATCTAGACTCTGTCCACCCTCACACTAGGATTTTGTTCATGGACTTATCTTCTGCCTTCAACACAGTTAATATTAATGTGCTGCTGCAACATCTGTCAGATGTTCAGGTTCAGTGAAGCTCGATTTTATGGATTCAGTGCTTTTTACCGGACGGACGACAAGTGTTTTTAAATGGTTTTAAGTCAAACATGTTGATCTTAAACACTGGACTTCCCGATGGTTGTGTTTTATATCCCATTCTCTCTTGTTTACACAAACTCTATTTTATAATGACCCTCTTTAAATATGCAGCTCTGATGGTGCAGCTGACTGGACCGCTATGAGCAGACAGTCCACGGTCTCCTCATGACGTTCACTCAACTCGCTGGAGCCGAACATCTCGAAGACTAAGGAACTGTGCTGTGGGAGTCGAGCCCAAACCCCAGGACCTTAAACCATCCACGGACAGCAGGTGGAGCAGGTGGATGTTTTTAAGTACCTCAGCACAGAGATAGACACAAACATGTCCTTCTCACAGCACACCTTTAATTTATTAGAAGACTCAACAACATCTTTAGCTGCTGAGAGGAAACTAAAGACCTTCCATGTGAGCAGGAGCACTCTGACCTTGATTTACAAGTCCCTGATCGAGTCCATTTGATCTCTTATCATTTCATCCTGGTTCAACCTCATCAATGGAAAACAGAAAGCT